TCCTCGTTGCGATCGTCGTAAGTGTTGAATTTATTCAAAGTATCGAAAGCTCGTTCGTCGTATGGATGAAAGTGTTGAGTATTTTTATCACATCAGCGCGACGAGCAAAATTCGCCGCATGGTCGAACAAAAAAAAAAAAAAAAAAAAAATGAACGTTTTCATATCTTTCAATTTACTGCGACCATAACACTTCAACTGCACCGGGGCGAGCGTTTAAAGTGTTCAGGAGATTCTTGGCAAAATTGTGTTGGCCATCTGGCATGCAACCGGTTGCCAGCAAGTGCCATGCATTATCGTCCACGCGATAGTAATTGTTGCAGAGCTTCTCGTTCCCGCTTCTTCGTTTCGCGGAAATCCACGATCCGCTCGCTCTCTGCCACGAGGAGAGTCCCTTCGCCTTCGGGCGAGCACACTTCCGCCGTTTAGAATACTGACGCACCGCTCGCCTGAACGAAACGCACCACAATTATGGCAGATCTAGTTTTCTTTTTTTTTTCGATCGTAGTCGTAGGTGCCTTTATTAGTTTTAACTTTTCAACCGCGAACAATTTTTATATTTCGCCGATTTTCGTTGAAAATCATCATATCAATGAATATAATTGGTGAAAAGTCGAAAAACGACTTTTTTCTTTTACAGTATTTTAGCATAAAAGTAGTAGATTTTTTTTCAGAAATTCATGTAAATAAGTGCATAATTTTGGCGACGCGACAAAGTATTTGCATAAATATCCTTGTTACTTAGATTCTAGTGTTTCACGTTCTCTCTGTGTAATTAGTGACAAAGTTAAATTAATTTGGAAATTCCAGAATTAAATAATCTAAGTAATTTAAGTTAACTTTTTATTATTTTAATTTGACAAATTTAACTGTTACAGTTGCCAGCGTGGCCCAGCTTAAAAATTGGACTTTCGTTCGAATAAATTCAATTCAGATAAGTAAAGTTCTACTGTCAAAGTTTGTGAAACTCGCATCTCTCTTCTTTTCATCCTCTTACTCTCAAATCACATTCCTTGACCGAAAATACCAAAACGATGTCTCGTAATATCAGGAATATTCAAATTTTCCGAAGAATTTGACACCGAACGATATAAAATTCCATCACCTGCTGAGTTAACTCGAAAAAAGGGGACAAGCACGAACAATATTGCAACCGGTTAACTCGGTCCTTGCCATTATAGGAAAGTAGGAAAAAAAAAAAGAAGGAAGAAGCGCAAAAGAATAAAGAAGGAAACGAATCGTCCAATTGGCCAACGATTGAGCTAATATTCAGCCAAGTTTATCCATAAACATCGTTCAACTGCGCGCCTGAAACACATTTTGATATTTTCACGAGCCATCCCGCTTGGACTTGGAACTCAAAAGTATACGTTTCTTACCAAACAAGCGCGTTTCAAACAAGAATGTTCAGGTTCATGACATATTGACTGTAATCACTGGTTTTTGTATCTTCGATGGCTTCATGAGGACAAAATGCAATCTAAATAAGAGTCGTGATATACTTTAAGGGTACAGATCAACGACGAGAACGCAACCATGTTTCTACGACGAAAACATCATTGCGTCCCGGAAGATATTTTCTTAATGTTCTATCGTTTCTTTTCTATAAAGAAAAAAAAAATTCTAGAAAACAAAAATGTGTAATTAGAAAAATTTCCAAAAGGAAGAAATGTGCGATTGAGAATAATGGAAAAAACATCGAAAACGATTGTACAATTATAAAAGAAACGCGTGTCAATAAAAGTATAATAATAATTAAACTGAGGATATTTAAAGCTGTACTAAAATAACAGTAATACTGAGGTGTTCATCAAGAATACAAATCGCCATAAAAAATATTATCTATTGGAATAACTTAAAATGTTACGATATTAATAAAAAAAAAAAGCTTAATACAAAAATTTGCTTCTGAATTATTTATATTATATTATTAAGCCAACTCTGTATCAACAAAAGTCTTCGTAACGAAAGGGTTAAAAGATAAGTGGAGGGATAACTCGAAACTTCGGAAATTGTACATCACTTGCCACGTATAATTAATATTAACTGCATAAAAATCTCGAATAAACCCATCTAATTTTACACCATCAACGCAGCAATCAACCCGCCATTATAATTCTTCCTCGCTTTCACTTCACCACTTAATCATCAAGAAGTCAAACTATCACTGTCCTAATTACACCAATTTACTACACCATCACCGAAAATAAGACATCGCCATTGCTCACACAGTTTCAACAATTATAAACACGTATATAAAAATTCTATGGCGATTATACGAATATTTGCCGTGAATATCTTCCTATTTTTAATTCTTTAACTCTATAATATTTACTGGATTTTCCTCAATATGTTTATAATCATCTACATATTACATCCCTAGCTGGTATCATTAGGTATTGATAGCCATAACAAGGTTAGGTTTTACGTTACCAGTTTACTCAGTATATTAACTCAACTTTACATTACTCAGTTTTGAAATTTTTAATTCAATTTAACTTACTATTAAATACAGGGGATGTTGAAATTATAACATTTAAAATTATTTTCTAGCCACTTGAGTAATTCAATTTTTAAACTGTTGCAAGTTACTTCAAGATCAACTTTTATATTTATATTTAAGAGTTAAAAACTCTCTGCCGGTAAATATAAATCTAAGTATAAAGTAAATCAAATACTGTCTCATTGAAACCCATATTATTTAGCAACAGATTTGTATTTATACTTGTCACTCTCCCGTTTGAAGCCATTTCGACGTAAGAAAATTGCTATGGAGACGTTCGAGATGCCTCTACCTCTCCTCGGTTCCTCGGGTTACCGCTGTAATTGCGGTGGCATCATTTTCGCGGGAAATAAAAGAAACAGAAGCGGCCCTCTTCCTGGCCATCTGGTGCATGGAAACCTCGGTTACACGAAGGATAACAGTCGCGTGATCTTTCTTCGGATATTAGACGCCCTAGGTTCTTTCTTGGCAATGATCGCGGAGCGGTCGCGTAACGAAGCTTGTGCCGTGAAACAAATTGGCCAAGTATATACGACACTCGAAATGAAAGTGGCTCGCTCGTCTGTTTCACACTCGTTTCTCTTCATTTTCGATCCGTCTGTCGTTTACTTTTTGGCTAGTTCCCAAGGACCAACGGCCCCTTCCTTTCATCAGTCAGTCTGTCTGTCTTGAGTTGTTTGTGGACCAAGTTATAAAGCAAAGAACACTGTAAACAACTTCATTTTGACTAATGGCCTCATGATGGAGAAAAATCGGTAGAGAGAGTGTGTTATCTGGAAAAAATCTTTCCCATGAATGATGGAAAGTAGCTTTTGAAAGTGTAACGAAATTTGATATTATTAAATGTGTAACAAAGGCTCACGATTGTTAGAAGAAAGAGAATATGGCGCTGTAAAAATAATTAAGAGTTCGATCAACTCGTTAAAAATCGCCAATTATTTATTGCACGTAGTATTTTGTATTATGTAAAAAGAAATAATTATTTCACATATTCTTGTAAAAAAAATAATAGTGAAAATATGAATGAAAATTAAGGAAGATCTCACAGATCTGTAGTATTTAAGGGTACAAACAATTTTCTTTCATGTCAGAACAAAATTTTCTCTCGTATTTTTTACGAGATTTGTCAAAATAAATTGGAGCATAAGCTGTACTTATCACAAAAGATTATTTGGCGAAAAATCAATGTTACCACATTTTTTAATTTACTCTTAGAAGTAAACTCCCTGGCATTAATTAAATCCAGTTTCCACGAATACCCGGCAGCGATTCCGGTGAATCAAAATATACATACATACGTATATATTTTGTTTGGTAGGAGGCCTACTACTATTTATAATTCCCAGATATGTTCCGGTATACTCTCATTATCCGTACAAGAGTAATTCAAATTCTACGGTATTAAATCTTATAAAATTTTTTAAGATTACATATTTCAAAAGATATTTTCTAAACTCTCTAAATCTCGAATAAATTTCTTTCGACTGAAATTTCTATAGAACAGCAATCCCTAATTAAACTCTGTTAAATATACAGTCTGAAACTCAGATATCAGCTTTTAAAAACATACGTGACATTAGAAATGAATGTAATTATTGCCACTATTAGTGAACATGAAAAGAAAAAAAGAAAGAAAATGGGAAAAAGAGACGAAAACTTATAATTACCAGGCTGCAATTCGCGATTAATCATACGAATAACAGGTTCGAAAATAAAAATCACATTAACCCAACTGTCGGTCAATAAGTTTGCACAAGAAGATTAACGACAGCCCGATCGTCAGTGTTCAGCGAAAGTGCACACATGCATCCCGATTTATCGCGACGTTTCGAATCAATGTGGACTGTTACATTAGCAAATTTTTACGCATCGCGTAAATAATTCCATAAAAAGTAAATTATTAACATATAATTAGAATCGTTTGTTGAGAAGCCAATGAATTTGGTTTACTTGAAAGAATATATCCGTATATATGTATATTCGGATATATATCCGAAAGGAATGAAAAACATAGAAAAAAGGACTATTATTTTTATCGTATCCTTCAAATTTCAAGACTTATAACATATTAACATGGAACGTAATTTGAAGATCTTTTTGAAATGTTGAATGTGTCACTGGCCCTGACAGTTCTGCAACCACGTGACTGTAGCAACATCGTGACAAATTAGGCAAACGCCCTTACGTATTACAGCTAAATTATGCGCTCCAAAATGCAACAAAATGCCGTTCCTTCCCTCGCTCTTACTACACAATGAGAATTTTGACTATGAGAAGAGGGACATAGCACATTACAAAAATACCCTAGCTCGAGGAGTATAATCACCGTGCGTCTAATAATCCTCGCTGTAACCAGGACACGAATAATTTAGTGGCTAGCTCGCGAGTTAATTTTATGAAACCTTACGAAATTACGCGGTTTCGTCGAACTACGATGGGAGATGACATTCGTATAAAAGACGTAGACACTTTTCTACTCATGCTACAAGCGAGCTGATT